AGAACATCAAGCTCAGGGCCGATGAGTCAACGCTAGGGTACTTCTGGGTTTATGACCTTCTTTGGAGATCTGTCAGTATCCTAGCAGGGCCGATGCCTAGAATCCAGTATTCAAAGCTGATGCAGCCTTCTATACTAGGAATTTGTCAGGACACCTCAACACACTGACCACAAGCACACCATAAGGGTCCTTTACCTCACCGGGGTTTCCTTCTTCAGACATGTAAAACTCTTCACATGCAGTCTGCAAGTCTCAACACACATGACATCAGTTGCAGCCATCGCAGAGAACAAAATAACGGTAACTGCCGGGTTTATGGGTTTAGGGTTTAAGGGTTTAGGGTTTATTAGGTCTAGGGTTTAGGGTTTAGGGTTTATTAGCTCAAGGGTTTAGGGTTTAGGGTTTATTAGGTCTAGGGTTTAGGGTTTAGGGTTTATTAGGTCAAGGGTTTAGGGTATAGGGTTTATTAGGTCTATGGTTTAGGGCTTAGGGTTCGCAAGATTTGAACAAACAAGCTTCACTTCGCGCCTCAGGCAAGAGGGGCACCTTCTCCCGAAGATCATCCTTGCGAACAGACAGCGGATGTGTTTGGGAGCCTCTGCGAAATCGGCAATGATACCATATGTATAGGACATGAACTAGTTGGTCTTTCTGACCTATCCTGACCCCCAGGCTCCGACATATAGAGGATCCAGGGTTTAGGATTTAGGGTTCTATTGCGGTAATAGTGGGATAATGGAAAAGAAAAACGAAACTACTACATTGGGGGTATATAGGGCTGAGCCTAAGTTTTGGTAGTCTACAAGGATACCCCACATGACTGGCCCAGTCCACAAGTCTATTGCCTCCCCCAAATGGGATGCTGGTTTCTTCGGCTACCTAAACACCCTCAACCCTAATCCCTAAACCCTAAACCCTAAAACCTAATCCCTAAACCCTAATCCCTAAGCCCTTATCCCTATACCATAAACCCTAAAACCTAATCCCTAAACCCTAAACCCTAATCCCTAATCCCTAAGCCCTACACCCTAAACCCTAATCCTTAAACCCTAATCCCTAAATCCTAAACCCTAAACCCTAAACACCCTAGACCGCTCCCAGCAGTCCTTGAGGCCTTGGAGCATTAACGCAAGCTCTGCCTCGATAGCGCCTGAGGAGGACTCCAGCGGTGGGAAGGGATGTGTTGGGTTTAGGGTTTAGGGTTTAGGGTTTTGGGTTTAAGGTCTGAGGGTTAGGGTTTTGGATTTAAGGTTGAGGGATTAGGGTTTAGGGATTAGGGTTTAGGGTTTAGAGCTTACTTGGAGGGCCAGGGGCATTAAGTCATGAAAAAGATGGAAACTAATATACCATTTGGGCTTTGAAGGGGACTCAGTAAATAGATAAGGGTTACTACAAGGACTATAGGGGTTATAACCTAGCTCGTAAATCTTAATTCCCCAAGTTCCAGGTAGGGATAGGTAAATGGAGGGGGGGGAGAGAGAGTGAGAGATACATACATACATACATACATACATACATACATACATACATATAACAGTGTGTAGGGGGATAAGCAGGGAGGATATAAGGATATTTGAGTAGAGCTTTTGTGCTGGGCAAACCAAGAACATCACATTGCTTGTATTTCTGTGACAAAGGACCGCAACAAAAATAATATAAGTTCTTTTGAGATATACTCGGGACGAGAATACGACCCCAAGCAAAATACTGCTCAAATGAGTTTCGTTTTTTCGATGGTTGGACCAAGCAAAATTGTGCTCTTCTTGTAGCACACTATAAGCAGAAGGGCATGGCAAGCCTACTTTATATATGTATATATCATATTGGGGACTTCGGTGTTTGTGTTTAGATGTGTTTAGAACCAGCCTCTGGTTGTGACCCTTGCAGGCAAAGCCATCACATGCTTGTCATGGCTACTGACGGGGCTAAGAAACAGGTTTGCATGCCCCTTCTAGGAAGCATCGAGACATGAAAGAAGTGATGCATCGCAGGGATGGACTTCCGGCATGCGGCCGTTACTAGGGTCTGAGAAAGCCCCGTGTGCTGCCAAATCAACTTACTGACTGCTTATGTTTCAAATGCAGGGGCCCAAGATGTTGCTTGGAAACCATCTTCACTCTATGTCAACCGAAGACTTTAGCTCCATTTCACGTTTGGGGCTTACGGCAAGAAAATGGCGGGGGCCCAGAGCAAGAAGTCCTACCCGGAATATGCAGATTTTTCTACCAATTATCTCGAGTCTCTACGATCATCTAGACTCGTGTGTTGGCCAGCCCTCTCTCCTTCTTGCTCCCTCCTGCAAAGCCAGGTGCAAGCATCGACTCTCTTGCCCCCAGACTTGAAAAACAATTCACGGCACAACAGACGGTGTCTGCAAACTTGCTTCCAGGTTGTTATGGGAAGTGCCCAGATATGATTGATGTCTTTGCGGGGGGTTAAAGCGTGTCCCACACGATGGACTCCATTTCCTCGGAACAGACCCTAATTGGCCGAAACCTTTTTGAACCATGAGAGCTTCATTTTTCGTCCGAGAAAGAGGTGCTGGTTCACGGGGCATCCCATCGTCCAGGCCCATCCCACCCAAGACCCTAAACCCTTGACCCTAAAACCCTAAACCCTGACCCTTACCAACACTCTTGACAGTCCCGTTTCTGAAGGTCGGGGATTCAGGTGTCGGCACCTCTCTCTGGGGAGCTCGGACTGCCATCCACTCCTGATACATGGGCAAGAGCCAGGCTATCCAAGAATTAGGTATTGGGGTTAAGATTTTACTGTTTCGAGTTTGGGGAGGCCCCTATACTCAGGATTGTGCTAAGTGTTTGGGCTATAGCAGGGAACGCGAAAGAGCTTTAAGGGCCAGAGGTGCTCAGGTTGGAGAAATAGCGGGTTTAGTGGTTTAGGGTTTAGGGCAAGACCTTTGGCTTCCAGATACAGGCTTTCGGAACGACTGGACCTTGAACACCCTTCTTTCATGAGGCTGCAGTGCGCCTTTTAATTTCAACATGGCAAGGCTGTCCGCATGACTTCGGTTGCTGTTAAAAACTTAAACATAAATTAAGTTACTATAATAAGGACCCTGTGATTTTCGATGTACCCATATAAATTAAAGGCATAATTGAAGCATCACAAGTTTGTGGATTTGTTAACACCCGGGCAGCATCATCATGAGAGAACTTTTTCCTATAGTAGCAAGAAATCTATAATTTTCAAAGAAAAAGGACCACCACCAGAATTGAGTTGTCCAGCTTGTGGGCGGGCTGCAAAAAGCTGGAAATTGCCAAAGGTTCCAGCGGCCCTTGAAGAATATCACCCTCTACTCGCCATCAAGGCAGTCGTAGTTCGGCTAGGCTAGTTGAAGACGAGGTAGATTTCTGTGTACCATGGCATACTGCTTCAAACGTGCGAGACACTGTTGCAAGATCAATTCTCACGCAATCAACACAGAAAGCCATCTCAAAGCCTGTGTCCCCGAGCCCAAACTCAAACACCCAAGCGTTTGCTACGTCAAATCTCACAACCTCCAAGACCCCATCACGAATACAATGTGTCAGCAGATGCCCACCTGGCTCACCTTCATCTACAGCCATGCGGTAGGTGTTGCCTCGGACGCAATGATCCACAAAATGGTGAGAAACGGGCTCAAGCCCATGTGAAAGCTGGAGTCGGTGATCTCATGTGTCCAAAAAAGTTCCAAACCTTCAGGCGATAGCTAAGTTCGCACTGGATATCAAGGGCCATGCAGAGTTGCAGAGAAGAATTTAGGTTTGGGGGAGGCAGGATCTTGGGCGCAACACAACTCGGATCAAACTCTAGAGCCCTTGGCACCACGTTGAAACAGGTTGAAACATGACTTCCAGTCCCTCTCCTCTTGGGAAGATGGCAAAAGCAATCCAAAAATCTTGCGCTTGCGAAGGCTCACGAAATCTGCCTCCCCAGCAACTACACTCTAATTTCCCAACAACCTTCCCACTCCAACATATACAGAACCCCCATGGGAGCTGTAGTCTATACTCTTTTTATCCCCCTTAATATCCCTATTGTAGTCCCCTATATAAGCCATTTTAAGAAGTTTAGACCCTAAACCCTATATAACCCCCGTCAAAGAGTTTGGACACTAAACCCTAAACCCCACATAGCCCCCTAATAACCCTTTTAAGGAGTTTAGGCTATAGCTCATGTGGCATGGCTAAAAGGGTTCAGTAGTCTCTGTACGCCGCATCAAGCCAGGCTCCTCACCCTGTGCTCCTAAACCTCCAGTTAGGGGCTTAGAGTTTGGGGCTGAGGAAAGCTAAGGGTTCATGGAGAGTTTAGGATATAGGGCTTAGGAAAATTTAGGATTTAATTAGGGTTGCAAGTTTAGTGTTTAGGGACAACCTTGGATTTTCAGGGCCGCATCAGGTAGAACGGAATCCATGCAATTCCAACGTATTGCAGGATTTTTTGATTATCGAATCCTAAAACGGCCTCACTACAAATATTCCGAAAGAACCCTATACACACTACACACCCACCAACACCATGACACAACTCATTCTTTGGGTTCCCTGTTTGGGGTTCCCATTAGAATCAATCCCTTTAACATTACCCCTTCAAGCTAGGTGCCCCGACTGCCCAGACCTTGGAGGTAGGCCAGGTGCTGCTTGTAGCGCTGCTGCTGATCATCAGCTGGCCTCACCAGAATTTGTAGAAATTACATAGCAGCAATACTTACAAGCGTAGAAGAAGTCATGCAGCTGCTGCATAGTACTGGTATTGCCGGTACTACCAGGTGACTAAGATCTTCTACAAGGAGGAGGAGGAGGACGGGAAGATACGGGACAGAGGATGAGGAGCAGGAAGGGAATGGAGACGGACCTAAGCTCGACGCGTAGATTGGCTTCCAGTGCAGAAATCCAGCGGTAGTGGTTGGCAACTTTTCGAACAAGCGCAACTCTCGCAGAGCTAAGCCTTGCATCCTGCAATGCATGAAGTATGTGCCGCTACTCCCTTGCCAGCATCCATCAGTCTTCCTCTTCTTGAGGGACGTTCGTGAAAAGTGTGTGCGTTGGGAGCATGTATGGGCGGTCCACACCCATCTTGCCACAGCCACCTTGCCTGATGGCTTTACCAGGACCAATCACCTCTGAGGCGAAGTTTTCGTAGGCAAAGAGGAGCAAGGCACATCTGTCAATCACCTCACTGGCAATGACAACGTCGGTGCGGCCTGGCATTCGGATTTTGGGCGCGTCCGGCATTCCGCGGAAGAGGCTGCTCACAAGGTGACCGGACCCTGGGTAGTACTTGGCATCATAGGTACCCATCTGGGAATTTAAAGGCTGCGATAAGCCGAAGTCGGCGAGCACAACGCTGGCTGGGCAACCGTTCTCATCCAAGCCCTTGTAGAACATGTTGTCCGCCTTCAGGTCACCATGGATGTAGCCGGCACGATGCAAGCATGCCATCCCGTCCGAGACTTGCTGGAGGATAGTCTTACCACACCGCCTCCGTAAACGCATGTTGGCTCTGAGCCAGCCAAAAATATCTCCGGTCATTTCCGGAGCGATGTACCCCAAGGGATATTTCTTCTCGTCTTGGGCAACACAAGGGGCAGACTTGGTCAGGGACATGACGTGGGTGCAGTGCTGCTTCATAGCAGACTGAAGGACATTCACCTCCTGCGCACAGTCTTGCTCGCCATAGGCATCGAGGCCAAACTTGAAGGCGTAGTAGCCTTGATATCCTGTTGCACCAACCTGAGGGGTCCAGGACTAGAGTCCTATCATCCATCGTCATAAACTCAAGAGGCACAAGACCTCAACTCCTATCCCCGTCCCACATTTTGCTGGCCTCAATGACCTTGCCATTCTGACCCTGCCCCAGCTTCTTTCCTGTCGCTTGCCACACCACCTCCCCTCTCATGCATTCGAGAGGAGCAGACGGCTCCAATTCCATCATGCTCTCCTGCAAGCTCGCAAGGACGACCCCTCTTAACAACCATGATGATCCTCAACAATGTTAGAAATGGTCAGTTTGTAAAGACGACAGATACATTGGCATGATGCCCTCCCCATTTCTGTGATTCTGGTCACAGCTGTGGCTGGTGTATCCCTCATGCACGGTTCTGCTAGAATTGTCCATCTGCTTTCTCATTATGTGTTGCTACAAATCTGTGCATGAGAGGAAGCCATTGTGCAATAGAAAAGCTTGTCTTTGGTATGGATCGTTGCCTGGTCTGGTCTGCGGGGCTTCTGCGGGAGGATTGCCGTCTCGTTGTCGGTAAGCCTTTGGTCTCGGACAGCATTAGTCCTCAGGACGCACCAGGCCACCACCACGGTTGAGACCTTCATGGGTCCGCACAAATAGAGTGTAGGGAAGGCAACGGCGTTCGAAGAGTGATAACACAGCTGCGGCATGGACACTTATCTCCTGGTCGCAGCCACTACGCTTCGGCCAACCAATGTTCAACAAAATGACCATCACCCCTAGTCATCAACCTATCTGTCTTAGCGTACTTGGAGGGTCATTGGGACTTACTAAATAACGGGGACAACTATGGTGACTATATAAGCAGCGGAAGAAGTTCTTATCTGGCCTATTCTGAACAGTCCCATACTCGTGCCGCAATCTCGTTCCATCTCGTTTTACATACTTAGATGGTCCCCCCCAACATGCTCTCCCACTAGGCTGGAGACCAACTGACTAAATCTGCTACGATCTTGTTTTACAACACTTGAGAAAGGCCTTGAATCTCGCTTCTCAACAAGTTTGCCTTCAAACGCAAAAATGTTGATCTCATTATTCGGGGGGGCATCTCATTTATAGGCTAAACGCATGACTTCCAGGACATCGGACCGACGTTAGACATTTTGAAAGAGACGGAACGTTAGTCCGTCTCTCATATGGGTTATAGGGCCTATTAACCTACTACCGGGATTATATATGGTTTGTATAGGGATTGTAAGGTCCCGGTATATATTGGGGTTATAATGGAAATAAGATGGAAACTACATTAATAGAATAGGGCTCTATACGTGCTACATCCCTTGACTCTCCAAGTAATCCGGAGGCTGGAAAAGCCCAACTAAGATGACTCCGTCGAGCTTCTCAACCCGAAATAGCAGCTTCCAGCTTCAGTTCCGTTATCCCGCTATAACCTCAATATACTGTAGCAATTTCCATTCTAATTTCCAAGATCCCAATATACCCTCTATATATCCCCCGTATAATCTGAACTCCTAGTATCCCCCTTAATAATCCCTATAATGCTCGCATACAAGGAGCATGCCGAACAAACAGAATACTGATAGGCCCTAGTGACAGGAGCATGCCGAACAAACAAAATACTGATAGGCCCTAGTGGCCTGATACAGATTTGAAATACGCACTTCTTTCTACACACATGGCTTTCCAAAGTTTCACAATTCTCAGAATGAGCCCTAAACCCTAATCCCTAAACCCTAAATGGAGGATGCAAGCGGCAGCTCCCAGCCTCTTGACCTTTCCAATGAACTCAGGAACCAGGTTGGACTGCTTCGGCCTCAGGACACTTCAGCTTAGACAACCTAGAGCTAACAAGGGGGCTTCTAGTTAGCTCAACCCCGAAAACCAGGACGTATTATCACCATATGATAGAGATAGAGTCATTATGAGATCCAAAATTTCCAGCCTCAAACTGGGAGGCAGTGCCCATGGTGGGGGCACCTTCGGAATTGTAGAGCTCCACTGACAGCTGCAACAAATACTGCAAAGTGCTAAAATGAGGTGGCCCTCCCTCTGATCAAACTTTTAGGGTTTAGAGCTTAGGGTTAAGGGTTTACGTAGACATTAGGGATAGGGGATTAGGGTTTAGGGTTTATTGAAACTCTTTGCAACATTGCCCAAACCTGAACGACGAGCCCTGACAGCTTTACGGATCCCTGCTTGGGTGTTTTGATGGTGCTTGCGGGAACAATGAAGGGCAATAGCAATAGTATTAGTAATGAGAATAACAGTAATAGTAGTAATGGTAGTAATAATAACTGTGTAAACACTAGTATTAATAGTATCAATATTAATACTAATAATTTGCAATGAAAGGCTGCACATTCTTGCCGGTCAACTATCGTGCTTTAGGGTCTGCAGATGACTAGCAGCCTCACGCCCAGAATTTACAAAGCACTATTATTACTATTATTACGACTATTGCTATTATTACTCTTATAACTTATTACGATTATTGCTATTATTCCTCTTATCACAATTATTCTTATTGTTACTAGGCTCGGGCCCTGAACATGCCCGCTGCGCCGTTACACTATTCTGTCCCGACAGGTACGATGGCGTTGTTTTCGAGGGTGGACTACAGATTGAGGGATTGTGTTTAGAGGGTAAAAACTTAACTCGGCTTCGAGGGAGGGCTGGGGATTGAGGGGTTTAAAGAGTAGTACAAACTAAACGGAAGAACAAAACTTAAAACAAAAACTGACATAACAAAAACAACAATAAGACCGATATTTCTGGACTCCTCCAATGGACCCTCATGTCCATGACTCCCAGAAGATTGTTGTTTTGTATGTTTTTGTGTGTGTGCTGATTTTCCGATTTTTTTTTCGGTGTGTTTGTTTGTTTTTTCCATTTAGTTTATACTACACTCTAAACACCAAGCGCGCAATCCCCAGCCCCCCTCGAAGACAAGCAACAATTGCTTAAATGTGAGGCTAGCTTTCTAGTACACACATCTTGCAAACAACAACTGATTGAAACCGACACTCTTCAACAAATTGACGAAAATATAAATTCAAACCCCGTTCCCCTTTCTCAGTGACACTCCAATATGGCATCTAGTAAGACTAAGTGTTTTCCTTCGAAATCATTAATGCCTTGTGATAATTGCCAAAAATCCCTACTTCTACTACCTCCCAGCCAGTTTAATAAGGTATTTATGTGCAGACAAAGGGATTTATGCAAAAAAACATGAGAAGCCCAGGATCCCGCAGCCCCAACTAAACAGAGGCTTTTGCTACAAGCGGTTTACATGAGGAAAATCAGGAGCCAAAGTAGTCTGAATTATCCCATTATGAGAAGCCTCGAGAGAAAATCAGGAGCCTCTGATGTGAGAATTTCCCTAACAAATCGAAGCTTTTTAATACTGAGTTTATACAGAAAATCCCAAGCACAGGGTTTGAGAATTGCTAATTTAGTAAGGCATTTGTATAGAGAAAATCATTAGCCCAGGATCTGAAAATTCGTTTAATAATTCCACGCTTGCTTAGTAAAGGTTATAGGTGAAGATAAGCGAAGATAGGTGAAGAAAATCTAAAACCAGAATCTGAGAACTCTCCAATAAATCGAACCTCATTTAGGTCTCAAACACACGACAACACGAAAACGGTGGATTAGGGCAGCAGGGGTAGCTATATTATATGGCACATATATTGAAGCAAGTGCAGATCTGAAATAGTGTAAAACACTGCGGGCATTTTCAGGCCCGAAACCTATTACTCTTAATACTAGCAGTACCAGACCTTCACCCATCCCTTCTAAAGGTCCCTGAGCCCTAAACCCAAAGCCCAAGCTTTTGAGCATTGGAACAGTAATAAAAGATAGCAATAATAATTAGCCATAATAAATGTGCTGCTGCAAGGCTCCGCAAGCGCGCCAACGGAACTGTCACTGAAAAAAAGCCACATACATCTCTACACCACGCCTTCTGAGCCAAAACCCTCCGCCACTCCAAGCGGGACTATACGTGGCTATTTTTGCGAGGTAACCACCTTCCCCTTGTATGCCACAAAAGAACCGACGATCCCTGCTAAGAGGACGCTCCCAAAGGGTGGCCCCATATCTTGCAACGCCCTATAGGGTTTAGGGCTTAGATTCAGGGGAGCTTAGTAAGTAGGTCAATAACCCATATAGTAACCCTAAACCCTGAATGTTTAAGCGAGATGCCCTGGCTTATATATAGTCCCTATATAAACCCCATATGATCCTTACATAATCCCAATAAAATACCTATATAAACCCCATAGAATCCTGAATGTCTAAGCGAGATGCTCTGGCTTCTTAAGTGGTGGAACGGCCACAGGCACCGGGGTGGCAGTGACTTCAGGCTCGGTCGAGGCCCTGCGAGGGCTTGTGAGGCTTCAGGGTTTAGGGGTTTGGGGTTTAGGGGTTTAGGGGTTTAGGGTTTAGGGCCTTAGGGTTCAAGGGTTTGGGGGTTTAGGGTTTGGGGTTTAGGAGTTTAGGCTTGAGGGTTTAGGGGTTTGGGGTCTAGGGTTTAGGGGTTTGGGGTTTCGGGTTTAGGGTTTAGGGGTTTAGGAGTTTGGGGTTTGGGGGTTTAAGGGTTTAGGGTTGAGGGTTTAGGGGCTTAGGGTTTAGGGTTTAGGGATGCAGGGCTTAGAATTCAAGGCTCAGGGGTATGATCATTTCTGTGATAATGCCAATCGTAAATGTACAACACGAAGACACCTGCCGTGAAGTTTTTAGGGTTTACGGTGAGTCACTAAAGGTGCTGCAGAGGTCTGCACCATCGGGAGCGGGGCTTTGGAGTACTAGGGACCTTGCTCAGGTAGGCACGAACAGGAACAGTTGCAATACGCTTCGATGCGGTATGAATACTCCCGTACATCACCACGATCATACTGCGGATAATCTTCCTGATCAGTGCACCTGCTGCAACCGACCCTCAACCAGGCGAGCAAGTCTTATCACCTTTCGATATGTAAGTGCTCGAGGAAAAGTAGGCAACATGCTCGAGGGCTCCTTTGGGAACTCAAGATTACAAGCGCCGAAGCAAAAATCGGACCTGGAGAGCCTCTGGAAGTGCAGGATACCAACAAATGCTCAGCTTGCTTTGCCGTCTCTGGTATCAAGCCTGGCAAGTGCTGGACGACCCAGGATTACGAGCTATGACCCTTAACCCCATAGTATGTCCCCAACATAGCCCATATTATGATATAGTAGTTTCCATTTTCTTTTCCATTATCCCTATCAATATAACGCCAATACATACCCTACCTCAACAGTATTTCCAAGCTGGACAGATTCACCCTCCAGGCTGCTACGCCTTCCCAAGGTGTGTGCAATGCTCTATGTGCCAATCCCTCGCAAAGCCCGAACCTGACCCTACATTGTACAACTCTCTGACTATGAAACCGCGAAGCATCAGACCTCAATCTGCTGGGTATCGTAGTTTCCATTCTCTTTTCCATTATCCCAAAATAACCCCTATATAACCCCTATATAACATAGTAGTTTCCAATTTTTGTTTTCCATTATCCCAATATAACCTCTATAGAACCCTTATTTAACCCCTCTTATTTAGGCCCCTAGGGCTCCGGCGCTCCCCTCTTGTTCATCGAAGGTGAGGACCTTGGCAGCTTTGTAGCTCAATGGCTCAGAGGTATATAGGGGATAATGGGAAAGAAAATGGAAACTACTAGATTATAATAGGGCATATAGAGGGGATATATTGGGGATATAATATGGGGTTAGGGGCAGTGCGGGCTAGCGTGTTTATCAAGGCTACGACTCTTCGTGAAAGCAGTGCCTCTTCGCGGAGAAAAGCTTGAAGTGCTGCTCTAGTACCCAAGTGAAAGGGCATGATGTTGAAATGCCCCAACATCTTCAAAAATCCAGACAAAGCTTGGCAACTGGGAGACTCCCGTTTGGAAAGGCTCTTGAAAAAAACTCTTGACCCCCTCCATAAGTCCAGAAACAAACCCTAAACCCTAAACTCATGGGAAAGCCCTGGGCTCCCTCCAAGCTCCCTGCACAGGTGAGGGCTTCCGGCTGGGGCCCTTTGAAGCAGGCAACCTCATGAAGCTGCTGGGGACAACCATCTCGCTTCATGAAACAGAGAGGCTTCTAAAAAGGAGCAGCTGGGACCTGAGGCAGGCTTAAAGGGTTTCCTTCTTATCTCTTCATGGATGCTTCTTATGAAGCTAACCTTGGCTCATTGCAGGGCTCTGGTCCCACACCCAACCATGCACCGAATTCCTGGTTCTGGAGGTGCTTCGTCACAGCAGGTGTAGAAGGATGGTCTCTTTATTCGCTCTCAAGCACTCTGCTAGCATTCTGGAATATGGCAGGTCACTTTGTTGGATCTCGCTCTTGAGACAGTGCCTCTTGTGTGCAGCAACTGCTGGGGAGAGCGCATGCAACAATTCAGGATATCCAGGTTTGAGCTTGAACAGGGAAGCGTGGATCTTTGTCTTGTTGCCCTCTCAGCAAGCCCCAAGCCACAAAGACAAAGACAACAATGACCAGGACGACCGCGACGACACCACTCGAATTCCAAGCCAGATGGTGGTCGAGCCCAATCCAAACAACCTGATTTCTGCTCTAAGTTCTGCCCTAAACCCTAAACCCTAAACCCTAAATTCGCTCGCAAAGCTTTTCGTCCCTCAGAACAGAGCTCGGTCCCATAGAAGTGCTCATGGGCGGGCTCTTGACGGCGCAAAAGTCTTGAGAACATGCTGAACTCACGTCCTGATGAGGGTACTACACTTTACTGCCCCTGGACAAGCGCTCGAAAAGTCTAGAAAATGAGCCTGACTCTTAATTACCAATGGCCGGAAAAGGCCTATAAGCCTCAACCCTAAAATTGAAGTCCTAGATCTAAACCTGAAATCCTCAACCTAATGATGCAACCTCTCCATGATCCTGAATCAACCCCCCATATATACGTCCGCGCTCCCCCTTCTTAGTCCATGAGCCATATCTGTAACCCCCAAGAACCCTGAACTCTCCGTAGGGCCACAGCACCACAGGGGTCGAAGAAAATTCTACGAAACCTTTATAAGTTACAAGCCCTTTACGCACCCTCCAGAAAAGTCGCTAGCCTTTTAGAAACCGTCTATGAACCCCCTCTAACCCTTCTATGAATGTCTACGCATATGGCATAAACATTCCACAACCCCTCTCCCCACCAGAACCTCCTGAAGCCCGAGTTCCGAAGTCTGAGTGGTCTTTGGGCTGTCGCTGGGCTGGAGAAGCAGGCACTTGACCCGGGACGTCGTCCAGGAGCGACCTGAGTCAATATAGGACTCAAAGAAACATGATAACACTAACAACAACAATAGTACAAACAATTGTGAAAATAATGAGAACCATATGTTTCAAAAAGAAATTGGGGGGTGTCTGAGGACCAAACTTGGATTGTCTGAGGTAAGTAGTAAGTAGGCAAATGATGGGGACAACTCGGGTTACTACATGGACTAAGGGCTCATCAATCTACCTGCTAAGTCCCTGACCCTCCGAGTAGGGATATATGAGCCATAGTCTAAACTCCTAATATCCCCCTTAATAATCCCTATACACTCCCCTATATATCTCCCCTTTAAGGAGTTTAGACTACAGCTCGTATGGAAATGCAAGGGGAAAATATGGGTATGATTGCCAGAAACTCACAGAGACGAGGATGAGAACCAGGAGAAGTGGAAGAAGAAACCAGCATTTCTGCATGCCACACGTTAAAGGTTCTTGGTTGTTTGCATCGAGCAAAATTTAGGGTCCCCTTCAATAACGTCCCAAAGCCCGGTGCAAAATCTTGTTATTGTTATTATTATTGTTACTATTCTTATTGTTGCTATTATTATTGTTATTATTATTGTTATTATTACTATTGTTATTAGTATTATCGTTATTATTACTATTGTTATTATTATTATTGTTATTATTATTGTTGTTATTATTGTTATTATCATTATTGTTGTTGTGCGCAACTACTTCATGGTGGAGGGGTGACGGAGACGTGTTTTCTCAAGTGAGCAATACAACTGAAGAAGGCACAGCTTCAAAAACAGCAGCAAAATCGGGGTCCTGAGCAGAAGACAACTATCGTTTAGGTGGGTCCGCTACCGCGGTGATAGGGATTATGAGGGATAGTCGTGAACATATCTTACGTGTTTAGGGTTAAGGGCCCAATCCCCAAATCCCGAACCCTTTGTTGTCCCCCCAACTGTTGTAGGACAGCCTTAAATGAGGCATAGTCTAAACAACGAGTATCCCCCTTATTGCCTGTGCTACGCGTCTATCCCTTGGTAAAAAAAAATTGTACGGTGCTTTGGGCCATCTGAAGTTTTTGATGGTTTTTGACCAGACATCACAAAGTGAGCTAAACTCCTAGTATCCCCCTTAATATCCCCTATAATAGGCCCCTATATAATCCCCTTAAAGAGTTTCGACTATAGCTCAAGTGGGCCTGGGAGCTGGCACCCTAGGTCCCACGCTCCGAAAAGTCAACCCGGAGCTTGTACTTAGGGTCGGCAAAAATTGTGAGGATCAGGAAACTGAATTTAGGGTTTAGGGTCTAGGGCTTAGAGGATCAGGAGAACGGGTTTGGGGTTTAGGGTTTAGGGTCTGTGCGCCACAACAGGACCACAACTTTACTAACTTTCCTGTATACTGAAGGAAACACACGGAAAGACAAAATTACATGAGAGGCGTGGCCTTTATTGCCACCTTTGCATTTCCTCGGCTTCGCGGGTCCCCTAGAAGCTCCCTTATCGAATCCCCCTTTAAGGAGTTTAGACCCTAAACCCCAAACCCTACAGTAGAATCCCCTATCTGACCCCTTTAAGGAGTTTAGACTATAGATCATGCGATCTCCATGAAAACATCACAACCCGGCAGCTGGCGCCTACTGCGCTTGGGCAGGTGCGGGTCTGAAACTGCCTGTGGGTGAGTTGTTTCCTCATCCGCCTCAGCAGTTTAGGGTTAAGGGTTCATGGTTCAGGGTTCAGAGTTTAGGGTTTAGGGTAGAGCCCAAAGGCAAAAACCCTAAATCCTGAACCCTCACCACACTCTGAAGTGGTGGGTGAGAGGCTCATGACATTATCCCCGTCATCTTCAGTATGTAGAAAACTAAAAAGCTGGCACTCGCTCTTGGCTCTAGATACGGTGAAAACTTGATGCACAGTTGAGCAAATACTACATCGTCGAGCGACTGTGCATCTGGAAGCCTCCATTTGGTAATTTCCCAAAATAGGGGGACCCCAATATAGACCCTAAAATATTATAATCCTTATTATGGGGACCCCCAAAAAGGTACCCCTAATTTTGGGAATCCTCCATTTAACACACGTGTACCCCGCCTTTCCTTCTTAGCGCAGTTTCCCACTTGGCCCTAATCATTCACCACCAGTCCCCTCTATCCAGGGAAACAAATCTGTTCTCGATTTCCTAGCTATATCTCAGAATAGAGTAGAATCCCCCTTAGGTAGATAGAATATGGGGTATATGGGGATCTTATTATAATATACCCAAAGCCATTATCTACTTAAGGGAGACTTTACCCCTAACATAGCACAGCCCGCGTTAAGACGGCCTCAGCAAATCCACACCTAGGCCAGAACCGTCCATGTCAGTGAGGATGCTCCTTTTGCCCCCTTTTGTGCCGGAAATTCTAGAGGGCTATAAACGGGTTATTTAGGTTTTATATAGGGGTTATAGAAGGATAATGGAAAAGAAAATGGAAGTTACCATTTAGGGTTTAGGGTCTCCTAAAATTAGGGGTGCCTTTTTGATTCCCTATAACAAGGACAGCACTTTTTGCGGGCTATATGGGGGGTCCCCCTATTTAAGGAAACTACCAAGTAGACGTTCTTATGGTCCCAAAGCTAGCCTCCTTTCATTTCCATTACCTCTGCGGGATGCCTTAAGTAATAATGGAATCATAATAATGATAAGAAGAAGAGCAAATAATAAGAGTGATCATAATAATAGCAATAATCATCAGAATCATAATACCAGTATACTAATAAAGGTAATAATAGTAGGAATAGTAGTAGTAGTAGTAGTAAGAATTCAGAATAACTGACTTCAGTTTCTTCGGAGCGGCCTGGTTCTGCGCCGCTTTGGCTTGCCTGGCGGTTGGAGCAGGGATAGCATTGGGCAACTCTGGAAGACTGGGGGCGTTAAATCCCTACATATTAAGGTAGGTTCCATTGTCCTTTCCATTATGCAGATATTACCCCCATGCAATCCCAATATAATCTTTAAACCCCTATCATTTCATTTTCCATGTTCTTTTCCATTTGATTCTCCATCATGGGGGAATAATTGAGAGCGGGAGCTAGCTGGGTATACGAAGGTGATGTTTTTCTTGAATCACTTTTTTGGGGCATAATATTGGTAATCACCCTAAACCCTAAGCCCCATAATATTGGTATGGAACCATAATATTAGTAATTACCCTAAACCCTAAACC